ATAACCATTAAAACAACTATTTTCATTCATTTCAGACGGAACTATTCACTGAGTTGTATTATATTAAACTGAACTTCCAATTTTCACCACTGTTCTGCGCCAAGTAACATTTCCCCGATGATGAGACATTTGTTCTTTCAATCCCCCCCGCTCCAAGGTGTCCTTGTTTTCCCAAATGAAAATATGGTCACCCTAGTTAAGGGTCTTGCTCAGGGACCCAGAGTGGCAGTCTGCATGCTGCTTTAGGCTTAGACTGCTGGAGGACATAGGGACCCGTTTTTCATCATTCTGCTTCATTCTATCTCTATTCTATCACTCTGCAGAATCTGTTAGTTCAATCTCTAACGTTCTGCTCTCTCTGCTTTTTGTCATAGTAGCTTCATCTGGTCTGTTCCTGTTTGGCTGTGACTCCATCCTGGAGAGAAATATCAGCTGTACTGCTGCCATCAACACCTTTGTTTCTAGATGTTGGAGCACATATGGGGAGACTCCTCCCCATATGTGTGCCATAACTTACAATTAAGTTATCTGATCATTGACACATGTTAATTTGAAGTTACTCATCAGTCGTGGCGTCTAGCTTATCCTAAACCTCTGAGTAACTTGAGAATAACTTCTGCGCAACTTATCTAGAAGTTCTCTCCAAAGCATATCAAGGTATCTGACATGTTCCAGATGAGCGCTGAATGTGTTTCTAACTTCCACCTACTGTATAATGGCGTATTGGCAGCGTGTTGGTATAAAGGGGGTTCACAGGAGGAAACCGTCAGTTCTCCTCCAGACTTCATCTCCATCATAGGGTGAGCCAGAAGGTGAGTGATGGATCCTCCCTGCGTTCACGCCCACCACCAACAAACTTCCTAGCAGACATGACGCTCAATCTGCTGCCACCAAAAACCTTCTTTCTATGTCTTTTTCTTTTTTTCAGCAGCTAGGTTAATACAGCGACTGGAAAGTTTAGAGAACTTTTCTTCTTGTGCTTTTTCTGCAGGCCGGGCCCTCCGGGCCAAGGGCGTAGGTTTGATTTCCACTTTGGTAGGGACACCATTGGTCCTAAGTTTCATTAATGTCTTTTTTCCTATGCAAAAATATGCATGCTTTTTTATACTTGACGTTAGCATTAGGGTGCATTTTGTTTAAAGAGAAAAGCAGCATTTCTTGCTACATTAATACTAATTTTATAAGCACTGCACTCACTAGATGCAGTATATCAATGTTTGAAGCGTCACCGGCTCTGATGAATGAGAAATTAGGACTTTTTTCCACTTTGAAAAGGTTTGCATTTAAACTTACCAGTGACTAAGACAGTAGGTCAATATGTACTAATTTAACCAAATATAGTAAATGTGCCCGTTATATGTGGATTTACCCTGTATTTTCTTTTGAAGATTTATAATTGTGCAAAGGTAAACAGGAGAAACACACTCCTATTTTTTAAATGCTATCTCTGTATCATGAAACAACGCAGAATAACACATTCAAGGGACAGAAAATACATTTATTGTATTTACACTTAGTGGCATCATCTGAAAAACACAACACTAAGAATGGGACTAAATTTAAACCAATATAAAATCACTTTTAACAATTATTAAAAAAAATATATAACACCATCTTGTCTGTAATGTAATAATATTCAAAATAAACATTTTACCAATGTTTGTACTAATTCACTTATGGACCGTGTGGAAATCTATGTAAAATAAAATCTATGTAAATAGTGTTCCTATGTTTGTTATTTGCTTTATCCTATTTTTAAAAGTAGAAATAGTCAAAGAAATAGAATGGTGCTGGATAAATTGTCAAGGTGTGACAGGGGCCATAAGTCGATGTTTTTAGGTAGTTTACCATTATCTTTTGTATCATGGAAAGTGTGGCTTCTATGTTCTTTTTCTATGTCTGCTTCTGTCTCCTTGAACCCCAGTCGGCCTCAGCAGATGGCCGCTCACATTGAGCCTATTGTGGTTCTGTGTCAGGTTTATTCAATGATGATTATAAAATTAATGTGTGCTTATGAAACATTTTTGCAAGGGGATGCTCCACTCCTGTCTCATGATTCAGTCAGGAGACCATCCTGCCTTGTCATTCTGATGGAGCATCTTGTCTTTATGAACTGATCAATTGTTCTCTCAGAACAAATACTGTTTTGTAACCATGTGTTATGTTCTGTTAATAAAAGACAGCTGCAGGAGGGGATTCGGAAAAGGAAAGCTTGAAGTTGGGTTGGGCTTTTTTCTTTCCGCTCCTGCAGAAGCTGCTTGAATCTCTTTCCTGTGTAGACTCAGTTTCTATTTATTTGCAAACCTACATTTTCTGAATCTAACATTTTTGGTGCCGAAACCCGGGAATCAAGATCCAATTGTCCAGGACCGTGTGGGACCAAGGCCAAGAATCTGTCGACAGCCTTCCTCCCTTCACCGGACGGGGCCCATAGGTTGGTCCAGCCCTGCCCTGGGCATCTTGGTGACGACTCCAGAGGAATTGCTCTACACAGCAAAGGGTAGGCCAAAGTCTTTTGATCAAAAGTTGGTCTAGGACCATTTAAGTTACAGCTGTAATTGCAAAAATATTTGACGAGACCAAGTCTTGTTGACGGATATGGCATCTGGGTATTCTGTGCATTAGAGTGTTAGACTCGGTGTCGTTCTCGAGATAGTAAGGTTTGCAGCTGCCGCAGCAGGGATATTTGACAGATACGGCATCTGGGTATCCGGTGCGTGCGAGGGCCTGGAGCTGGAGACTCCAAAGTGTACATGATAGGTGTTTTTTTTGTCTATGTTGGTTTAACTAAAAAATATAATAGGCCTGGTGTGACTGAGTGAGAGTGTGTCAGGAAACAATCGAACCTTTCAGGTTCTGTTGTTTCATGGTAAAACAGCAAGGGTTTAATACAGCACAGCTCTTGTGGATGCAGAGGCAAGAATTTCTCACCTGAAAAAGTAGAAGCAGAAATTACCACAACAGTGTTTGTGTGCTGTCCTGCTGAATAAACATCCAGTGTGTAGAATACCCTAGGTGTTTGTACTGGACTAAATTCTTTAAAATGGGAAAAGGTCAAAATAAATTTAGGGGTTAATTAAAATCTACGATTAGAAGTTTGTAGAAGTGCATGATCCAACCAAAAAATAAATACTTGAATATATAGTTTGAAAAAAAGATGGGTTTGAGGGACGCCTCTATTCAAAGATAAAATAATAAGAACTAAATGATGAAATAACTAAAATGAGCCAGGGAGGTAAAAGAATTAAAAAGGATGAAGTAATTTAAAATTCTTGTAGAAGTGAAGGTTAGAGTATGAAATAGATGGTGTGTGGGAGTAGATCAATGGAGAAATGTTATGTGCCGGCTAGAAATAAGCACTAGTGCAAAAATAGATAAATAAAAAAATTAATAAATAAATACATAGATAAATGAATAAATAAGTATTTATAAATAAATAAATGAGCTCCAAATGGTGAGTTGTTGATATATTACATGCACAAAGTAGATATGTTATTATTAAATATTTAAATAAATAGATCTAATGTTGTGTTTGTCTGTCTTTTAATGTTATGTGTTTCTGTCTTTAAAGTTATGATTGTGGGTCTTTTAAGTTGTTTGTGTGTCCAAAAGATAATGAAACACAGTTTAGAGGGAGACAGCTTAAATCTGCACAAGCGCGGGGTGGATGTCACTGGAGCGGTGACTGCAGCATTGATCCAGTTGACAGCCTTCCTAATGCGCCTGCAGGGTCTCCAAAATCATTACGTTCGGAACCAAAAAAATTAAAAATTAATAACCCACCAGAAAATTATTTTAATCATGCAAGCTACATACAGGGAATAAAAAAAATAGAGGAATTAAATTAGTGGATTGTGCAAGCTAAAACATAGAAACAGCTATGAAGTGTAGTTTGGACCACAATTGGGCTCAAGGGAGGGGCTGGTGGTCACAGGGGCTGGTGGTCACAGGGGAAAAACAAGGGGTCACGTAGAAAGCACAATAGGTGCTACAATTGTGATAAGGAGAGCCACTTTGCTCGAGAATGTCCAGACCCCTACAGAGTGACCCTTCCCATCACCAATGTTATAACCAGCACTGACGCCAGGAGTCATGTGCACCAGCAAAAATTGCAGTTAATTGTGGACCCAGTGGAGGTCCTAGACCTACAGCTAATTTCCCTTTCTTTTTAAACACATCAGAAAAACCATACTGGCATTTAAACATTCAAGGGGTAAAAGTAAAATTCCTGTGTGACACCGGGGCCGATAAATCTGTTGTGAAAAATATATTACCTCAGATTAAACCGGGATCTGCTGATAGGAGAATGGTAGTTCAGCGCATTTCTGAAAAACAATTGGTCACTGATGAAGAGGGATTCACGGTGGAAGCTGATTTTAAGCCCAGACTGTCCAGTTAATCTATTAGGCAGAGATTTGTTCATGAAATTGCAATTAGTGTTGGTGCCTACAGACAAAGGCATGTCTGTGAGAAGATGTACAGATTTTATGCTGCAAGGGGAAGTTACAGCAGAGCTAAAAAGTAGCTGACACACATGTGATACATTCAGGATCATTCCCAAAAACATGAATAATTCTAGCAATTAATGGACATTCAGTTAGACTTATATGTGAATCAGGAGCCTGTAATACTTGTGTTAAAGATAATGTAAATGCTAAAACCATCTAAAAGGCGTATTTTTGTAAAATCAGCTAATAATCAAACATCCTAGACAAGAGAAAGGTTGCAAGGTTGCATGTTTTTGTAGTAATATCACCAACTCACCCCATTAATCTGTTAAAGTGAGACTTGATGGAAAATTAGGCATTGCAATTTTCCCCACGCTGGGGGGAATGAAGGCTGTATGAATAATACATGTAATGGCGTTGCAACTAAATCCTTCTGTGTTTTATGCAACATGCTTAGCATTTCT